CATGGAGATATTTGTGAACGGAATATTCTTTATTCACAAGGCAAGGTCTATTTTATTGATTTTGGGTATTCAGATTATAATATTGTTGAGAAAGGTTCCAGACCAGTAACTGCTGATCCAAAGAGTACGAATAGTGAACACCGAAAATTATGCAGAGTGTTTAATCAGGAAATTCCACAGCAATATGAAGATTCGAATGAATAGGAGTTTTTATTTTATAATTCGTATAGAGAGTAATACAAAAAAAAATCCATATAATTATTCAGTCACGTGAAAATTCTTGCAAAAGACTAAAAAATTTGAAGAGATCCTATAAGGATATATCTAGTACAGAGCAAAACAAGATTAATTATGTCTGCAAATTCATCGAACCCTAGTGAGGTTATGGAGAAAGTTCAAGACTTGAAAATATATGATTCAAAACCAAAAGTAGATTCCGAGGAACAACCAGAAGCTGAAAGTGATGGTGAAAGTGCTACCGATGGTGCACAGAAGAAGAAGAAGAAGAAGAGTAAGAAGAAGAAGAAGATCACAGCCATTGATAACCTGTACCCGGATGGAGTTTTTCCAGAAGGGGAATGGCAAGAATATCCATTAGATGTGAACAGTTACCGTACTACTTCCGAAGAAAAGAGATATTTAGATAGACAGCAAAATAACCATTGGCAAGACTTCCGTAAAGGTGCAGAGATACATAGAAGGGTCCGTCACAAGGCGCAATCGAGTATTAGACCGGGAATGAATATGACCGAGATTGCAGATCTCATTGAGAATTCTGTTAGAAGCTATGCGAACAACGACCACACGTTAAAGGCTGGTATTGGGTTCCCAACCGGGCTATCGTTGAACCATGTTGCCGCCCATTACACCCCAAATGCTGGGGACAAGACTGTGTTGAACTACGAAGATGTGATGAAAGTCGATATTGGGGTTCATGTCAATGGTCATATTGTCGATTCGGCCTTCACATTAACGTTTGACGATAAGTATGACAGCTTATTGAAGGCCGTCAAGGAGGCCACAAACACCGGGGTTAAAGA